ACATGATAGTTCTAGAAACGTTGCGTCACTGTAGTCATGTGACTGCTGACGCAACATTACTAATTTGAGATCTAGGACATCACTAGATATGTGCGGAAGGCTTGTGTGTGTAGGAGTGGCATAATTTAGCAACACACAGTCACCATTTTCTAAGAATTCAAGTAATTTTCTTCCATTTTGGGTAGTTGTATTACATCCAAAATCTGTATGTTTACTAGTTATATCTTCTATTATTATCAAGTTTTTGTTGTATCCATTTAACTTTTCCAATAAATCTAAATCAATTGTTTTGGAGGATAGCAGTAAATTCCTGCTACTGTATCATTATTTGTTAGATGGATATCTATTGTTATATATTCGTTTGTCGTTTCAACCGCTATCTGTGTCACAGATAAGGTTGATTTGTATAATAATGCAATACCCTTATTAGGGTAATTTTACCCAATCTATTTATTCTGATTCAAGTATATCTAATAAATTTAAGAGAATTTGATTTGTTAAGCATAGTTTCAGTAATTACTAATACATCAGTATTTAATTGTGATATTATGTTCTCGATATCTTGCCTCTTGGAAGTAAGACCACCTTACAGTGTTCTGCTGTGAATTTGTAAGTGAAAAATGAGCCCACGAGTTGTTGTATTGTTACGACAGCGGAAGTCACGTGACCCTAGTAACACGTCACGCGCTTCTAGAACGTTCATGAAGTGTCGGGAGAATACTAGATTTCGGTATTCTTGTACATATAAGACGGTCAAGACGTGACGGCAACAAAGTAATGTAATGTGTAATTGACAGTTGAGTCGAGCACGTGAGACGATCGTTGTGAATTATAGCGTTTGTTATAGCGCGACTGTGGAAATTAAGTGTATTACAAAGTTGTATTCAGAAAGAATAAACCAGTTTTATTTAAGAAAGGACTTGTATCGGTAAAGTTTCTTCGGAAAGAATTTTTACGGAAAATTAACTAACGAACTGAGGCGTAACAATATTATGTATGGAATGATGGGTGCAAAGTGTTTCTTAGCTATTGTGATGAGTAGAGACATACAATCTTGCTTCTTTTGTTCGTTTTGGTATTCTCTAACAAAATATATAATGTTTTTTTTTTTAGCGGTTTTCATTATTGGGTTATTTTCTGTGTTAAATTACGTGATTTTTTTCGTACTGCTGCTGCATATATAGGTGCTGGTTGTGTAATTGTTGTTGGGAGAAATGGTATTTTGGTATTAGTTTGTTGTGTTTGACTCATTTCCGTGTATTGGGAAGTTGTTGCTGTTAGGTGGTTTATGTTGTAAATCGTTCTCAAGATTTATTTATACCTTAATCAGCCTTTATAATTGGCTGTGTATTGTACAACAGTCTTCTTCTTCTGTAGCTTTCCCGTATCTATACGGGGTCGCTATTGGTTTGGCAGGGTTTTTACGGCCGGATGCCCTTCCTGACGCCAACCATCCCCATTTATCCGGGCTTTGGACCGGCACCGAGTTGTGCTGGCTTGCATCCCCAGTGGCTGGGTTTTGTACAACAGTATGAGTTTTTATGTTCTTTGTATTGTGATGATCTCTTGCACAACCCACACAATATGGGGTAGACTTACAGGCTGCAGCCACATGGCCGTAGCGTTGGCAATTATAACATTGTGTTACAACTATGGCAGGCGTTTTAGTTTTTTCGACTTGAAATCTTTTATTCCAGAGCACAATACCATTCGATATTAGGCTCTGAATATCTTGTGTCTACTTATGTGCACCTTGATGATGTTTATTGGTTTCTCTGTTCTGTTTGAGATTATTCTTTCAACTTTTATGAAATTAATATTATTTAGTGTTAGTTCATTCGTTGACTTGGTCTATTTCAATGTTGTAATCTATTCCTCTTATGACAAATGTCTTTCTGTCGGATTTTGTCTCGGGCAAATGGCCACCCATTATGTTTCCCGGATTAAACGCATTCTGTAGTCATTCCTTTAGCAGACTGTTAAAGCCAGCTGGCTCTGCTCCTGTTGGTGTTTCCTATGTGTTTTTAGGTGTTTTGTTTGTTTTTGCGGATAGTTTACGTTGTCTGTTCGAGGTTACCAACGTAAAACCATCATTGTTTGTGTTTCTGTGTGTTTGAATATCCAAGTTGGGATTTTTTGATGTGCTTGCAATTTGCTTAATTTCATTTTCTGTACTGGTATTAACTATGTTAGTGTCCTGGCATGTTTATAATTCTTCATCACTAACGTTTAGGTTTGGAGAGCAATGGCTACAGGTAGATCTCCTAACCATTTTTCTTTTTCTAGTTATTGTCTTTAATTCTTGTTTTGCTGCTATGATAAGATTATCTAAACAAGGGCTTAACTCTAAGTTACTATTCTCTTCACAGCTATTGCCACCTACAATAGACTTACAAATTACTGACTAGAGGAAGAGGTCGCTGGACTGGGAGATTCTGAGACGTCATTCTTCGTCTTCATAATCTATGTCGCACAACGACAACTCATTTTTCTCCAGGATCTTCTTAACGAGGAGGATGCTTTCGTGGGCGGCGACGCCCATAGCCCTTCCCTTTTAAGATAAAAAACACTCTAAAGAGTACCTTATATAATTTCAGCAGTTTTAATGGAATTTCTGATGTAGCTCAATTACATTAAAGGAATGAACTTCATTCAATGTTGGAATCAACCAGTTCCAAACATTAAAGTCATAACATTTTATCCATTATTTAACCAGATTTACACAAG